AGTTTATATTTTTATATTTAATGGTAAGTAGAAAATTTTAATTTAAGTAATGGTGAAATATTTTAAATTACAAATAACTACAAAAAGTAAACTAAAATTGATGATGAAAAGCTACTATTTTACATTTTAATACAATGAGTAATCAAAATATCCACTTCTAACACTCTTAATAAGAAAAAGTGACCTTATTGTTGTTTCAATAKGTTTTGAGTGTTTATAAAACATTTACACGGAACATTGTTTATTAAATATTCAAGCTTCTTTTCAAGAAATGATTCTTTTTATACATAAATTAAAGAATAACTAAAAAAGTTTTAATGCCTTAAAATAAACAATATCATAAATCAATAGGTACACATTGTGAAGCTGAACATACTTATTTAAAAGTAAAAGTTACGGTATAAAACATTACTCTTTGGCTGATTTTTTAAAATATTTTATCTAAATTTGTAGTATGTGAATATCATGTACAGAACTTAGCATAACAAAATAAAAATTGTTGCTTAATTCTAACATTTGGCAGAAAAAAGTGTTTAATTAATGAAGTAGCAATCATCATTTTTGTCAATTTCATGAACTTAGCATTAAATATTTTAAAAATTAATCAACCAATTCTTTATGCAAATAAAACCAATATTTCCTATAGATTTCAACACAATAAATAAAGCAACAAAAGAAGACAGTCCGACCTGTGAACTCTGTGACAAAGCGCTGACAATCAAACATATCACACTAGAATGCCCCAAGTTCACCAGCTCCAGACAAATTTTCGGAAACCCATCAACAATGCAACAAGCACTTGGCGAAGGGACCGCCAAAAACATATTATACAATTTTTTCAAAAACACAGGCTTAGCAAAACTAATTTAGAAAAATAACCAAATGTACATATTATATTCTATAAACTCCCTCTATTGTTAAACATAATGTATCCCCATAGTTTTAAGACCTCTTACTACTATTTTGTAATTGTTACAGGCTAATAAACTCAGGAGTTGAAGCCTTATTTAAGTAAAAAATAAATAAATAAATAAAGCACACATGTATAAAAAAACAAATTAAAACATTCGATTTATATATTTTAAATTAGTTAAGCATTTCTACGAATTTTATTTGATGTATCAAGGAATATATTATTACTTTAATAATAAATATTGTCTTCTATTTCTAAGGTTTTAATTATAATTTGAAATATTATTAAACACCATACCAAATGAAAAAAAGAAATATAATAGTTGATTATTTTAATACAAGACAAATGAATGTTTCTTTARCTATAGAATTCAATTGCTACACGTTGAAATTTATTTAATTATTTTTACATAATTAATTGTAAAATTGAAGATGTTTATTTCAATGAAATTATTAAATAAAAACACTCATTCCAGTCAAGTATAGTCTTAGTTCTTACTCCTAGAACATTATATACTTTATCAAAGCTCAGTATTTCATGTTCAAACCTCAAAACCAATGAGATAAAATATTGATTATTACATAGCATAATTAATTAGCTTGTACAATAACGTAGTTCAATATTTTGTACATAGTTTATAATGACTCAAGGAATGTCACTAACAAAATATTGAAATATTTCATCCATTGTTGGAAGAATTATTTTATGTAGTATGATAATACTACTAATAATATTTAAACAATAAATTGTAATAATATTACTGCCACAAGCCTGCATAATTGCCACATAAATTAGCTGGTAACGGTCCACCAGCAGAAAATAATCGTGTTCCTGAATAATCATAGCAATGTGTGTAAATTGCAGGTGTATATTTGACTTGTTGAAATCCTTGATCCACCATAAAATCTTCATCAGGATACTGAAATTTTTTTTAAAAAATTAAAAAACTTTATATGAATTTCAAATTATGATACTTACAACATAACCTCTACTTGTTTTTAACACAACTGCTCTACTAGAGTTGATACTAGATTCTAGGTACTTTCCTGCCCGTATATCATAGAACATTATAACACCAACACCTGTTCCAATTGTAATTACATTATCTTGAAAACTTAATGACCTAATTCCTACAAAATAACAAATTAATTAGTAAATCAGAATGGATTTATTTAAATTATCTCTAATATAAATGGAAATTGCATGATCAAATTATACAATAGGTAAGTAATAATTTTTACAATTTAATAAATATATTGTTATATTATGTTCCATGAGAGAAAATGCTGCAATCAGACTAAAATTACTAAAATTATTTTTTCTGAGCATTCCCAAAAAAGACACCTTGCAATGGGAACCTGTTTCAATACAAGGGTGACATGGGGAGATGCATAGAAGTTACATATTCTTTCATAGTGCAGAGTATAGAACAACAATTTAATAAATATTAAAATGTACAAACCACATCCACTATATCTTGCAGGTATTTTTTTTATGGTATGTAATGTTCTTGAATCAAGTAATAGTGTGTATGAACGGCATCCAACTGCATATAAACTACTATCATTTTTCATTGCCATACAGACATTGTCTTGACAAGATGATAATCTTCTTGAAAACTTCTGTAATAAAATAAAAAAAAATACAAATAATAAGTGAAAAAATACGAAATTGAATAGAATATTTTATTTGTTGATAGTAATTAGTAAATGGAAGTTCATTTTCAAATGACATAATGTACATTTGTAATACTTAAATACTTAATAAAGCAACCAATACTATTTAGAATGTATCTTAATAGATCAAAAATAAAGTTGTTTTTAAGAAAAAATAATAATTTAATTTGCAATTACTTGTCTAAAACGTTCAACATCCCAAACATGAACATATCCATTTAAAGACAATGTAACCATTTCTTTTAAATTCTTATTAAATGTGATTGCTCGGACTTTTTGTGCTGTCTTACAGCTTCTTATGACTGCAGGATTGAGAAATTGAGTAATTGGTTGTATGAGGTCACCATCAGAATCATACTTTTCTTGATATTTATCTTGAACTTGCCATAGAGCAAGCTTGGTATCCCGTGAACCACTAACAAAAAACTCATCATCCAACCATTCAATATCAAATATCCAATCTTTGTGAGCACCCTAATGAAATAATAAAGTAAATAACAGTTACGTGTTGTTTTTTTTCTATGTGGTTACCTCTGCTAAAACAATTGGATCTAATGTTGGCAACCTATATACAGCTATTTCATTAGAATTATATGCGCCTGTTGCCAACAATGTCCTAGATGGATTAATTTTTAATGAATGAATACCACTTTGTTGATCAGCTGCTTCATCTACACGTCCTTTTATCGATGGTATTTGGTCCAGTTCATGAGATTTTACATTATACACCATTAACTAGTTGTAATAATAAAACAAAAGTAAGATATAAAAAGTAAATAGCTGATGAATAATACAAATTATTATTTTGTTAAGTATAATTTAAATAGTCAATAAAATTAAAATATAATTTATTTATGTGTGTATATTTTTATTTAATAGCAAATATTGATAAATTAATAAGTGTACCTATGTACTAATTTTACAGACTACATCCAAGTTACATACTTAATTTTATAAGATACTGGTTTGTTATTGTTCTTTCACTCATAACAATAATATAATAACAAATACCTTATATACCTCTATGTGATATTTATTCTTATTTTTATTTTATACTTACTCCTAAAAATTATAAATAAGTAACAATGATAATAATAGTATTAGCATCTAGAATATATGTATACCCATAGGGGGAAATTTTCTATTTTACTGTTATGTACATTGATAAATCATAAAGTACAAGTAATAAATATAGAGGAAGAAACTTTGTCCCATATAACACACATGCAWATAAACATATATCTACATACGTTAAGAGAAAAAAAATATGTGTCCGATAAAACAAAAATATACCCTCAATTATATTAATCGCCAATTATGTAGGTGATGGCTGACATGGTTTCACACGTCTAATATTTCACATGTAATTTTTATAATTCAAAGTTTTAGGTATTCATTTCACCACAATATAGAAAAAACTTAATATTTTATCATCAAAAAATCTAGTTATAAAGTTTTGGAATTTTTTTTTATAAAATAATATTGTATGTTTTGTTTAGTATAAATATATTTTATTTAMATCATTAAAACTTTTATTAATAAAATTAAAATTTAATTATTAATTATTTACAGGTATAGGTGTATCTAAATAAAATGGCTAGTATGTAAATATGTAAGAAATGCTAGAACTATATTCAGTATACTTACTTTATTACATTTTGTACCAAAGACAATTTGTTTACTACTAAGCCATTGTGAACAAAAAACTTTATTCATTGTTTTCAATGGTATAGACCGTTCTTTGAACAAATCATGTGTAAGAATATGTCTTGTACCATGATTTTGATTAACTGAACGATACTCTCGCATTCCATATTCTCGGTTTCTTATATAATCAACAAAATTATAAGAAGAGTTTAACATAGTGCATAACGACATTGTACTCTCTTCTTCTTCATCCGAGTCTTCATAGCAAACAAAATCTTCTGGTTTATCTGACTTTCTGGACCGTTCCATTCTAGCCATACGTAATTGTAAGCTACGTTCATCAAGTCGAGATTGGTATGCACATGGTGGCCGTGAACCAAAGACTGGCACACGCCTTGTTTGTGCCATTCTAAAACAACAATAACACTTTATACATTTTATACATTTTATGTTTGAAGAATACGATTAAAATCAAGATAGAGTAAAGAATATCAAAATATACATAAAAAGTATATACCTTAAGGCTGGCGTATGCTAGTTAAGAAATTGCAGCATCCAAAGTCAAGTAATTCAGAACAGAGAATGTTGAATGTAACATGGGAAATTATGTACAAAATACATATATTAAATATAAATCATATTACTAATGTATTAAAAAATTAGTTAAATTGGTAAAATTACAAATATTAAAATGATTAATAAATATTTTTAAATTGAAAACAAAAAGATAAAATATTACTATGATGATAAGTAGGTCACAGTTAGACCAACATTATACCACATTTTTTGTATTATCATTTTACTGCAACTGGAAATCAGTATTGAAAATCAACTGATAAATATTTAACACGTTTTGCAAAAAAAAATATATATATATATTTAAATGTAAACATTGTATATTGTCTATTCAGTATTTCAGTATGACAATATTCAGTATTCACTAATCAGTATTCAGTAGTCACTGGTGTCATACTAATTAAAGATTAGTATATTTCACTATATTATAACTTTGTAACTGATGTCAGATGTACCATTTGTACGATTCTACCATTTATAATTTGTATTATTCGTATATACAGACATACAGAAGTTGTCTCGAGTTAACAATTGAGTATTCATAAAATATATCTAATTTATAATCTTAAAGAACTATAAAATACGGATTATAATATTGCGAAAGAGTCAATTCAAAAGACTATGGACTAATATGTCTTGATTTTTTTTTTTAGCTACCATTATAAAAATTAATATAACTCAATAGTTACAAATAAATTAAAAATAACAAGATGATTTATGAGACAAGAGCTAAAATAAACAAAGGAAAAAAGATRTCCTAGTTAAGGATATAAATTATAACAAACTTACAGCAAAAATAAAGTCCTTATTACAAGGGATAGAATCAATTCGGTACAGATATATATTTACTTATTCATGACGTTTAGTTTCGAAATTCGTAATAATCGATATCGTATAGGTGGTATATAGACCAGCCATATATTAATAATATATGTTAATCCCACGAATTAAGATATTCTTAAGATGTAATTGGTGATCTAGGACAAAGAGTAAGATATATCTCATTCCGTGGTTTAGTCATTGTCTGATGATATTTGATAAAAATGTATAATAAAATATTATTAATATACATTTCCTATAGAACGTATTATAATATTTAGCTAATAGGAATAACTAATAAGATTAATTACCTGATGTCCCGATTTTTGATGTGGGTGAACAATTCATTAGAATCTCTTGATAATAGTATAATAATTGGTACTTAATAATCATTGTCCTTTAATAAGTGTGTGTATTGAACTACGTCAATGTTGTTTAAAAGGTACCTTCTCAGTATATTCGTATGAGATCACATTTTTATCATTATTATTTTTAAAACATGTATAAATGTATCATGATATTATTTTGGTACTATTATATACCTTGAAAATTGAATTGCAGATGTCTTTGCCAAATATCAATATAGAACTGAAAAGCCATTTAGCCAGCAAAATATTTTTACCTTTATTCCGTCATACGATTGACATTTTAAATAAAATATATTATTTATTTTTCGGTACATGAAATTAATTTTATCATTTATGTTTCTGTTTTTCTGAATTTTTAATTTTGCAATTTGTACGTATTTATATTGCAATTATGTTATTTTTTCATACCTTAGATTGAGTGGAGCAATGAATGTATTTATTTGTCTGTTATCATCTTTTGAGACATTACAATGCTTTGATTTTCTTAAAAACATAATTATTAATTTTTGATAGTAAAGAGAA